ATCTCACGCTTCCACTACATCCTATTCTATCGATTGTTTTGTCTCTACTGCCCAAAATCGCACGCTTTGACCCGATTCTTTCAATGCGTCGCTTGATACGTGGCCGTCCGAAGGCGTACTTGGTTCCGCTTGTTTTTTCTTCTTTAGAAACTGAGCCTTGGTGCGTGAAACTTTGAATTTTGTCTCTAGTGATCACAACTGTCATATTCATGTTGACAAATTGTGCAAGAATTGCCGAGAAGATTCCTTTAAACGACCCTAGAAGCAGGCGTAATGAGGAGTCTCCATGAGAAGGACATCGGCCATGAGAGTGAGAAACATTGCATTTGATGTGACTAATAGGAATCAGACGCAGAGTCCTCATACATTCGATTAACACGTTGACGACAGCGTGAACGTGGTAGCGCATACCTCGTGGGACATTGTAACGCGTCCCACCCAAGTCATCCCTTTTTCTTGCGCTTGTGCGACTTATTCCTAAGGTCTTTGTACTCATTCTATAGGTCATACATTAGCATACTTAAAAACCACATGGCTCACAGAAAGGCCAAATATTCTTTAGTTTGGCAGAGGTTTTCCAGACCTTACGGATATGTCTGTTCAGTTCATTCCTCGTTTTCTTTTCATTAACGTAAACATGTTGATAAAAAGGAATAATAGAAGCGAATACAAACCTATTCGTATGGGAAGATATGTGTTTTTACTGAAACAACCACGTCCAAATTAATTTTGGAACCACTAAAGGGAAAGTAAGTAAAATTTGCCTTTTCATGGCCTTAACACGTCATTTCGGTCGAACTTCCATTACTGTAACTCCGATAAGTTAGACAGATCGAACATTATTGAAAACACTTCAAAGCACTCTGCCCCCAAAAGCGATCCGCCCACCAGTTTACTTGTTGATTTGGACGAGCTGCGTGGCCAGCAGCGGCGCAAATGGAGCATCTCGATTAAAGCGTGTTTGGCATGGTGCCATCAAACGCGTTGCGGTGAACTCGTTCATACGTCCACTTTCTGAGCTGTTACCTGTTCATGAGTGAAAACCAACGGCCAAAAAAGGGGTCCCGTTTTGCGTTTTCTTGACGGATTTTTTCTGCTTTTTTCGCCACTGGCGTACCATTGAGCACCACCACGTCACATAAACCCTTCTTGAATTTTTCGTAATCGCTGCCTTTAAGCCACAGTTTTCAGCCAGTGCTCCCTATCTGGCAGTCCACAACCGGAACCGTGGCTGGAAGCAGTCCGATCACAAGTGGGCGGATTTCCAGTTGTGGTACGATGTGCACGAGAAAAACCGCAAGGTATACTACGCACTGAACGAGAATTCCGGCAGTGGTTCAGGGTAAGGAGATAGTTTCTTTCTTTCTTTAGTCAAAGCACATGCATTATTCTTTACCTCATTCGAATCCCTAACATTAATTTCAGCGTAATTCCACTATCCATCACTGTGGTGAATACGTGGTTCAAGAATATGTTGAAGACGGGTTACGAGTTCACAGCCTTATGTACCGCTAGAGGGAGGACTGGTCGGTAAGTTGCCGTTTATGTTTAAAAAAGAATTCCAGGACCTGAGTGATTTCATAATCCAGAGATAAGGAAGGGAACCTAGGTATTCGCATGATGCTTTTCTTACGTTTTTCTTTCTTACTACAAAGGGGCTCATATTGATGGCATCATCTTAGAAGTGCATCTGAAATGCGCTACCCTACCAGCAACCTCCTACGTTCACCTCTATCAGTACTTGCTATTATGAAGAGCATTAGCCTATCAACACGGCTTAGACCCCTTATAACAATAATAAGTACTGATATGGGACGAGACCGCCAGGACGACCAATCCTTGTGATCCTCATAGGATTCAGCAAATAAATTTGCAAACCTTGCAGTTTGGTAGACCTGGGCGGATCTCATGCCAATGTTGCGTAGGACGTAAGCAGAGGCTCAGCTAACAAGGGAGGTCTTTCAGGGCAAGCCACGCTTTTTCAAAACTGTTTTCTGCATATTGTATAGCATGTAGGGAACGCAAAACCATGTTTCATTTTCGCTGAACGGTTTAGCAGTACCAAAAAAGCATAAGGTACTGTTAATGGTTCGATCCCCGTGGCGACTAAATTTTGCATTTGGGTTGGCGCCTACGGGTTGGTGCCAAATCGCGCTAAATATCAAAATCAGATGTCATATTCATCGTCAGGACCATTTTGAAGCCAACAAGTGGCCGCCAACCTTGATTGCAAAATTTAGTCGCCGCGGGGATCGTCGATGGATGCTTTACATAATATAGAAATCACCACAATATGACGTCACAATGGCATCTCAATAGTTGTACTCTAGGTCAGATGGGGATTTTTCCTCCTACCCACTTCCATATCCTCCCCTCCTTCCATTGCTCTCCTGCTGCCACTGTAGCAAGATGTGAAATGACCGACAGTGTGCTCAGAAAGATTGATAGTAAAGGTCTTCTGTAGGCTAACCCAGAAGGCCGTATGCAACAAGCCCCGAAGGTCTTCGGGGATATATCCCCGAAGATCGTATGCAACAAGCCCCGACGATCGTCGGGGACATATCCCCGAAGTCGTATGCAACAAGCCCCGACGATCGTCGGGGACATATCCCCGAAGTCGTATGCAACAAGCCCCGACGATCGTCGGGGACATATCCCCGACGACCTTCGGGGCTTGTTGCATAGGGTCGTCGGGGAGGATTCGTCGGGGATGAATCCCCCTAGTCTCGACTAGGGGGATTCATCCCCGACGGCCTCCAAACGTACGTGTTACTTGAGCTAACTCAGTGGTCAGTCAGTTGGACTGTCGACGCGTAAGCGTTGCGGTCCAGCCGACCTCGGTGATGAAACTCCCATTTCCGCTTATCGTTGCTTTCGTTGTGTCGCACATTTATGATCCATGTCTCACATTTATGATCGAGTTAACCTTTATTCGCTATTCTCAAGTAAGTTAACGTAGTATTGTAGTGGTTATCGATGCGTTTAGTTTTATATATTCACGGAACAAGTGTTACAGGTACACAATTCAGTTGGAACATGGCCACTTCAAATGAAGCGTCCGGAACTTTAAAGTTTCACTGCATTGAATAGTTGAATGAAGGCACATAGAGCTGCCCGGCAATTCTTATGTCCCCGACGATTCGTCGGGGCTTGTTGCATACGACTTCGGGGATATGTCCCCGACGATCGTCGGGGCTTGTTGCATACGACTTCGGGGATATGTCCCCGACGATCGTCGGGGCTTGTTGCATACGACTTCGGGGATATGTCCCCGACGATCGTCGGGGCTTGTTGCATACGACTTCGGGGATATGTCCCCGACGATCGTCGGGGCTTGTTGCATACGACTTCGGGGATATGTCCCCGACGATCGTCGGGGCTTGTTGCATACGACTTCGGGGATATGTCCCGACGATCGTCGGGGCTTGTTGCATACGACTTCGGGGATATGTCCCCGACGATCGTCGGGGCTTGTTGCATACGACTTCGGGGATATGTCCCCGACGATCGTCGGGGCTTGTTGCATACGAGTTCGGGGATATGTCCCCGACGATCGTCGGGGCTTGTTGCATACGATCTTCGGGGATATATCCCCGAAAACCTTCGGGGCTTGTTGCATACGACTTCGGGGATATATCCCCGAAGACCTTCGGGGCTTGTTGCATACGGCCCCAGAATTATTTAGCACCTTGTTTATCGTCCATCAGCTGCCTTGTCACCACAGCAGTCCCTTTGCGAAACTGGCTTATTACTATTACATACATCACACAAACAGAAATACACACACCAAGCTGGCGATTATATATTAATAGAAAGGTTTTCGGGGCTTCACTTTACCATTCACTATTACCACCGGTTTTTTCAAACTATGAGACTATGTTCAAACTATGTTCATGGACAGCGTTGTATCCTGCGTACACCGCTCCCCACCTATTCTCTTGAAACATAATGTCCGTCTTTCTCTTCTGTGTATTCAAATAATACAGACATACGCTAGGAAACATTTCGAGCTGCGACAAATGGCTTGTTTTGTCGCACATTTCCTGCAAAATAATAATGCACTCAGATAGATATCATGTATCAGACATAGTATAAGCTGGAAGAGTCGAGCGGCAAAAGTCGACTTTTCGACATGATCCACATCAAGAAAGTGCTGCCAAAACGGGTTGTTTCCTGATTCCTCGTCTTCACTGCACTTCACTCTGATCGACCCTACTTTTTCGCTCGGTTTTGAACCTATTAGGTACCGGATATCTTAGTGTCGCTTTTCTGAGTTCAGGAAGTTTTGGGGCCGATTACTATGGAAAATCAATATCTCAGAAGTCCTTTTTGCTCATTAATACTGCGAAATATGTTGCTTATTGTTTTCTATTGTTGGTTCACAATTTAACTTTCCCCCAATTTTTATACTTTTTTTTGAAAATTCCTGGGTCCAGTGAGCAAATTCGCATGTGCGTACTAAATGCTTCAAAATTCTTGCTGAGAGCTACAACTTTCGCCCACCAAACCAACATTGCATTTGATGGAGGGAATACTACCATTTAAAATGCTCATCGGTTTTTCACAGTTTTCTTCAAAAGACAGTGAAGTCTTTGAAGGGATGCCCGCAATCGTCGTCAAAAAGGTGGTCCTAGTTAAATCAGTCGAAGACGGGGCTGCACCAGTCTTGTGCTGAAATGGTAGGACACCTTAGCAGTGACTGATCGATGATGCACAAACGCTTCAACGAAGTTGATTGCACAAGAAATTCTAATAAATGTGCTCATCTGCTACTCACGTGTGCTAAAATAGGGTGCGTTTTTGACCCTATGTGGCAAAAAAGACTCCGGAAAAAATTCCACCGATACAAGTGCACGACACCCTACCCCTAGTGCTAACTGGGTACTTCTTTTGTCCCAGGCCTGACCTTTTGCAAGTGAGACGGATGATTTGTAAACTGACCTACCTCTCTTTTTCGTCTCAAAAAATTCCTAGCTTTAATCGTACGAGGTTTCCACTCATAATGCTGGTAAATGGGAAAAGGGCTAATGAGTCATTCGATGAATATGCCGTTTCACTCACTGGATTTCTGAATTAAAATATTGGTGGTCCGAAACTCGTTGGTGAAAAACGACACCTTAATACATTCCGTACGTTAATGTTTGATATCCGGTACCTAATGTTTACGTCGTATGAGTCGTCGTGTAAGTCGTATATTGAGGACTTCGAAAACGGGCTCGATCCTTTTTTTATTCTGACCATGAATCCGAAACTTCAATGGAATCGAAATTGTAAATAATGGCGAGAGATTGTCATTGATTAATTTCGGGTTTCTATAATACTGTGAACGCTACAATATTATGTGCCAACCCGATACAATCTGCAAGTGGAAGCGGAATTAATATGAGAAACGGTGTACGTTGGCAATGAAGATATGGCAATTTTTTATAGCGTGTATTGCTTCCGTGGAGACCCACCGGACGATACTTGAATGCATTCAAAGTCAGCTGCCATACGCCATCCAGCTGTTCAGCGTGGAGCAGACACGAGATCATCTACCCGGTGTGGAGTCATTTGTTAGCCAGGTGCGATCAGGATATCATAATTCCGAAAAACCAGAACGATATAGTTTGTCCATAAAGTGTTTCCTTGAAGAAAGTTAATAGTTACAGGTAATCAAAGCCACCTTCACTAAAGGCTACACGGGTGCTATTTTCATCAAAGGATTTTACAAGGTATGCAAGGTTATTTCTAGTTCGGAAAATGTGCTCTATTCCAAATAAGCGGGACCACCCGTGAGGGGTGGGGTGGGGGAAGGGGGTGTTCAGGGCGAGCCGCGCTTTTTCGAAACGGTTTCTTGCATATTGTAGGGACGCATGTATATGGAACACAAAACCATGTTTCGTTTTCGCTGAACGGTTTTAGTAGTATCAAAAAAGTGGTGAATGATACCTTGATGGTTCGATCCCCCGCGGCGACTAAATTTTGCAATCAAGGTTGGCGGCCACTTGTTGGCTTCAAAATGGTCCTGACGATGAATATGACATCTGATTTTGACATTTAGCGCGATTTGGCACCAACCGTAGGCGCCAACCCAAATGCAAAATTTAGTCGCCACGGGGATCGAACCATTAACAGTACCTTATGCTTCTTTTTTGGTACTGCTAAACCGTTCAGCGAAAATGAAACATGGTTTTGTGTTCCCTACATGCGTCCCTACAATATGCAAAAACCGTTTCGAAAAAGCGCGGCTTGCTCTGAAACCCTCCTTTCAGATCACGTGGATAGGGCTCTTGCATCACTCACGCCTCACACTGATGAGCTCCCTTCTCCCTTTTGTGTTAGCTTGGATTATGCAGAACAGAGCAGGGTCTAGTTATGGGAGTGTGTACGAAACAGACAGGCTTACACATAATGTTAGCGCGATTTTTGTCCGTGAGGAAAAGGAAAGGCTTCTATCTGTTTCTTATTTTTGCTTACAGGACCACAACGACATTTTCTTCCTTGGTTTCGGGCTTGAGCCGGAGTCGGAAACGCTCCGCACATTGATGTCCATATCACGGTCGCTGACGCCATGGGAGACGATGGTAATCGAGAGCCACTATGACACTAATGATAGCTTACAGGTAAAAAAGAACACTGTACGTTGTTTCGAAATCAAAACAAAGGTGCCAAATTTTGCGGAAGAAAATCACCTTCCATTGGAAAAAAA